CTTAACCCCTTGCACCACCCGGGAGGCCCATCATTTTTATTTTAAACACCTAATCATACTAGAACAGTCTTTCGATGGTCTCAGAAAACCATGTCCCTTTATGGATATGTCTCCTGAAAGGATAACTAATAATATCCCTGAGCGTGGAAGACCAAGGAATGACCCTGTTAAGAACCTTGTGCCTGTCAGTAGAGCCTCCCAGGACAATTACAGTCTTCTGTTCACACAGAGGTCTAACCCGATTTTGCTAACTCAGGAAGTCAAGTTACTCTCCCTACCAGTACAACACAACATCACAAAGGAAGGTGCTTTGGTTTCTAGATTTAAAACACAATAGTAGCCACTATATACACAACTGACTTGGACACTTTTCAATACCTATTTCATTTTAAGTAAAGAGGTTTGTCATACTAAACATTTTCTTTCTATGTGTGAGAATATAAGACTAGAGAATAAGAAGGTGCCACTTCTAAAAGCAGAAAAACAAAAATGTTTAAAAACCACTGCCCAATAGAAACAGATCTTCATAAAACAATTTATCTTCATCCCTTCATTTTTAGTTGAATAGAGATTTTTAATAGTCCACACTAACAGGTGGAAAGGAAACAGTTTCTGGGGCTCACTTCCCTTTACACTGTTCAAAAGTGGAATGACCACATGCTGTTCCAAACACAACACATGGCTTTACTTTTGCCTAACTTCAATGAAGGCCAATTCAAAAAGAAAATACAATGTTCCTATTTCCATTTCCCCTAGATCAGTCTCAGCTCTCTCTGGATAAAATCACTCCCTAAGGGACATCAACCTCACAGTTTGAGAAACAATGCTCTAGATGTGAAACAAAAAACTCCACAATGGAAAACCAAGCAGCCATTTTGTTTTTCCTCATGGGAGAGTTAGACTACATCCTTTTCATTACAATGACAAGTCACTATTCAGATTTGTAAGTGAGCTCTGTAATACAAATAATCTCAGCATTCAATTATAAAATAAGGAAATGGATGTAGTCTATACTCATTTATTTATATATTGTCTATGACTGCTGTATTACTGTAACTGTAGTACTGAATAGCTGTGACAGAGACTGTATGGTTTGTAAAGCCAAACTATTATTAGACCCTTAACAGAAAAAGTGTGCATCCCCAGTTAAACCCAGTGGGTCTCAAACTTAAATGTTCACAAGAAACACCCAGACAGCTTGTTAAACCAGTTTCTGGGCTCTAGGTTCACAGATCATGATTCAGTAGGTTGGTATGGGGTCCATGAACTTGCATTTCTAACAAGCTCAGAAGCTTTCGGTCTACCAACTAAAGTTTGAAAATCACTGCTCTAAGCCTTTCACATAATCACAGATGAGGAACAATCACAAATGCCATATATTCTATTAAATAGGATAGTCCATCATACAAAATGAAAACTAAGCTATAAAGGAGTGAGGTAATTTTTAACTTATATGGAATTCTTAGTAGCTAAGAAAGCACAATTGGTTGCCATAATCTATCAGATAATTCTTCACCCCATCCTAATATTAAATCACAGTGAACACTAAAAATTCAAGAGGGATCAGCTGGAAACAAAGGCAGCCGGTTTGATGGTATAAAACCCAATCTGTTCCCTAGAGAAACTAAAAGACATTTTTTAAAAAGTAAAATCCAATATTTATGCAGGTATAATTTAGTACATAGCTGGAATGTAAACGTAAGTACTAAAAGTAAAATGTTTGGAAAAAATCTGACACATATAGTTTATAGTACTATGGCCCAATCAAAAGATGAATTCCCACTACTCAGCTACTTAAAAAGATGAAATTATGTTTCCTGGGGAAAAAAATGGATAGATCTTGAGGTGATTATGCTACGTGAAATAAGTCAGAAAGTGAAAGACAATTACTGGATGGTTTCACTCATGTGAATGAAGTGGAATATAAATAATGAAAGAAAACAAACTGGCAAAACATAACAAAAGTAACCACAGACTGTGAAATATATGGAGGAGATGGGAATGAGGTAGCATATTTTCACTGTGCCTTTGGTGGAGGGAAGTACAGCATGCACACATGTTGAGGTGTGATGCTGTACTCCCCAAATTCTATAGTTATGTAAACAAATGGCAAATTAATAAAATTTGATTAAAAGAGAGTTCTATTAGGAAATAAGATGAATTCCTTTACTCCAAATAAATAAAATGGTTAAAGATAAAACTGTTTAAATTCTAAGAAACACATGTCAAACTAATATGCAAAAGAACATAGAAGATATCAATGGATATTATTTTATTGAACTAGGCTTAGGCAGAACAAAAGTGGATGATATGTAAGCCAGCCTAAAAATATTAGAATGTTTTTCACTTGGACACTGCTGAATCTAGAGGTGGAAGATAAGGACTTGAAAGGAAAATTCTCTTTGTGATCAATTAGGAGAGGAAACACCACCTTTTTATTTATCCATCATTTACTAAGCATCTATCATGCACTATACTAGGTGTCAGGAGTAGAAATGAATAAAAACTATTCCTACTCTTAACAAGATCACAATCTAGTAAGAGAGCCATGTAAACAGTAGCCATCCACCATGATGAGCATAAGAACAGTCATATATATTAAGTAATCTCAGAGTGTGAAAAGTGAGCAGTTAAATATGCTAGAGAGAAAGGTGTAAGAAAGTTTCACTAGGCATAGAGTTGTTGTTTCAGGTGAGGCCCGACAAAGGCGAGCAGGTGAAGAGGGTAAGTAGAGAACCCAAGAGGCAGCGGATACAACATGTGCAAAGGCATGGCGGTAAGAGACTAATGAGGATTTGAGTCCCGCACATGATTTGACTGACTCCAAGAGTATAAGAGAAGGCAGAAGTCCCAAAGAGCCTTGGGCGCCACCCTAGAGTTTGCTCTTCACTTTTTTCAGTTCTAGAGTGTAGTTTGACAGAGAAGACTCTCAGATTAGAGTGCTCAGATCTTGTAGGAATCATGCAGCTTCTCTGGGTTTTAGTTTCTTTACCTAAGAAAGGGTTCAGGGGTTTCTACCTGGGCTCTGCACAGATGTACTGTTCAATAGAATTGGAAGCCTTTGTAATCCTACTCATTTTAGCCACTTAAAAATTAAAATATTTCTCTTATTCTGAGAGGGATCAATGGCACAAAAGTGGTTAAAAAGTTCTGCATGATATTTAGGATCATTTATAACCTCTCAAATGATAGGATCCTGGACATTCAATAGAGGAACTAAAAAAGAATGCTGCTGACTGAGGACAAATTAGGATGGGGGAGCAGGAAATAACACAGAGCAAAAAAATATTAGGGATTGAAAGTCTGACTCAGGTTGGTATTATTTTGCTTTTATATATCCCTTCTTTTGTAGATCTAGGTTAATGCTAGTATTTAATGACTGCTTAATGGCATTCTTTTATCATACCAAAGTATGGTTTATAGAATAAAAATTAGTAAAGGCTATGAAACAGTTTAGTGTAAAGGGAACATTATATTATGAAGAGACTGGTAATGTTAGCGATTAAATAAAGGAGAAAAAACAGAAATATCTTGAGAATGTCCAGACACAAAACTACCTGGGAAAGGTGTTGGTAAACAAGAAAGAAACTTTTTATTTTTCATCAGCAACAACTGCTTTTAAAAAGACAGTGTGGTACAAAAACCAGTTCATATCTTACAATTATAAGCATTTGATAAAAGGCGTCTATTTTTAATAACGATATGCTACAAGGGACTCGAGTCTAAATAATCTGAATTTATATATAAGGTCAGTGTTAGCATTCAAACTTAAAATGTATGTAGCAACTACACAGAGAGAATCCTGGATTTAAAAAAATTGTAATCAAATCAAATCACATTATCAGAGAAAATGTGAAAATGAGTACTATGAACACTTTTTGAAGGTATTCCCACTAATGCTTTATTTTAGACAGATCAAACCATCCCAATCAATGTAAGTCTCACTGCATCATTTTTGAAAGTTTTCAAATTGACTTCTTGAAATGGTTTGGAAAACCACTGAAATAGTACAATAACATAATTGGTAAAATCCTTTTAAAGTGCACAGTATTTACTTAGCATCTACTTAAAAGCAGGCCTATTTTAGACATGAATCTTCAGGAGGTAGTGGGACAACTATTCAAACAGGCAACATGGAAGATAGCAAAATGAAGGCTAGTTGGTTTTTAAAGTGGTATCTATGTTAAAATTTTAGGGGTCCTCTATTCGCAACAATCTGGGGAGGAATAGTTTTTATCATCCCTGGAGAGTTTTTCAGGGGAAAAACTACAAATGCAGTTTGGAGGAGACGGCTCTTCAGGAGACTTATCCACCTAACAGATCTACACAGGAGAACAGGTTCTAGTTCCTACGGTCACAGTCTTTCTTCTCACACCTCCCTAGCAATCTGCCTATCTCTAAGCCACAGGCAGGTAACCAAGGCACCTAAGGCAATCTTCTAATGTCATTCTGTTCTTACCCTGAAAGGTGGTTTCATTTTTACAAGGAATACTTAAGTGTTAGGCTTTACAAGAAAAAAGTTACTTCTTAGTAATATACTATCTATAGTCCCTAAAGCCTTAGTAACACACTATCTATAGTCCCCAAAGCCTTGACTTACTTCAGAAAACTGTGCCAAGTGAACATTACAACTATTTATGAAAATACATAATACAGTCCAGGTCATATAGAATATATATTCAATGAATCAGGAAAAATTCAGAATTTGCATTTCGAGAGGAACAACCATAATCAATTCAGGAAAACAATGTATTTTCCAGGTGCAAGAAATTCTGAAATCATTCATAACTACATGCAATGCCAAACTTATCCTGAGGAAACCCACCAAACAGCTATAAATGTAGACAAAACATGTTGGGGGGAAGAGGAGGGGGTTTAATTTTCAAAAGGATTTACTGAAAAGATGACTTGTACACGACTGGAAGAAATCCATTGAAAAATAATATAAAAAAGTCACATTTACAGCATAAACTATTTGCTAAGGTATGAAGACTACTCACCTCCATTTCCACAGCAGCTGTACTCTGGTCATAATGACCCATCAGATTAGGGAAAAAGGTCATGTTGTAGGTCATTTTCATACATCTGGGAACAGTAATTGGTTCACAGGTGAAAAGACTGTGCCCTCTTATGAGTGGTAGAAAAATACATGTCCACAAAAAGATAAACATTTCCATTTTCCTCAAATTCCTGCTTTTACCACATGGCTTGCATTAATTGCTCTTTTCATTCTCAGATTTCCATCCAAAGATTAAATGTTCAAATTCGTCATTCCATTATTTTACCATTTTTGACGGAAGCTCTTTTCCTGAAAATGAGTCCTGGGTCAATTTCTGTCAAAACAACCCAAAAAAGTGTATCAGCATTTTTTTGTCAAAAACTTCAGTGCGGACGTCAAAGTGCACAGTTACGATGTTCACCCTAGGTTACTAACACTGGAAAAAGCACGGGAAATTATGGGATACTCTTCCACCTGCCTTGGCGTAGACACTATCATTTGGTGAGGAAGCCTCATTTCTAGTGACCTGATGATAGAAGGTTTGGGCTGCGTGGAACACCGGGTAAAGGGGGGTGGGGGGCACAAGATGGGTGAGCTTGGAGCAGTTAGGAATACGTTTAAAAGGGTTAATAGATTTGTCAAATCTATGGTCCCCTGTTGGATACCTTATTACGCACAAGAAAACTGCGCTTCAAGGAAATCCCTTAAATCCTAATGAGTTTTCAAACTATTTTAAAGATTCTAAGAGCAAGTTTGCTGGCAGTCTTCTAGGGATAGACTTTTTCTCTTTTCCCCAAGGCCAACTGGAGGAAGACGTCTAGGATTCCTCCTGTGCAAGAGCGCACGAGTTCTCACGGGCTGGGGAGAGAATTGACCCCACCGAAGGGAACTGGAGCCGAGCTGTCCTGGGAGAGGGAGGTCGGCAGCGTGCTCTGAGTCACCAGAGCCGCACCCCACCCCAACAACGCCCGTGCCAGGGCTTCCAGGTCGCCCCACAGCCCGGCACCTGCCCCAGGCCTGCGGTCGCCCCAGCTGCGCCCCGGGCCCGCGGCCGCAGCGTCGCCTTTCGGGAGCTGGGCCCAGCTCCGCGGAGACTTCGGCCCGAGCGGACCGTCCTCCGCCGCCTCCCCGGCACCTGCGACCGCGAGCGTGCCCCCTCGAGGCCCGCACCCCGAGATTCTCGCCTGCGCCCCCCAATCCCCCACATCCCGCCCGCGGTCCCGCCCAGCCCCGGCCGGAGGAGCCTCACCTCGGGCGGCAGTCGAGGGCGTCGCGCCAGCCCGGTCCAGTCCAGCCCCGTCCAGCCCCGTCCAGCCCCCCGCGCCCCCCGCGCCCCGAATCGACTTCGAGGAGCGCCTGGGACTCGGCAGCCTCTGCAGCGCACGGGGAGCGAGAGCTGAGCGATCCCGCGAGATCGCGCCGCCCGGTTGGGCGGGCAGGTCCCGGCTCGCCAGACGGCGGCGGCCCTGGCCCTACCCCGCCCCGCCCGCCCAGCGCCGCCCGGCCGGGCTCGGCGGCCGCCGGGGCGGGGCCGGAGAACGGGGTCGGGTGCCGGCCTGGCGGCGGGGCCTGCGGTGTCCGCGCTGCCGTCTGTTGGGCACCTGGAGCGCAGGTCCCAGGCCTGGCTCGCGGCTCGCGGCTCGCTGTCCAGTCCGCGGGCTCAGCCCTCAGGGTTTGTTGTTGTTACGCTTTGATGATTCCCCAAATAAAGAAATGAACCCACTTTATGTCGAATTTCAGGATCCAAGAATTCTATAAAGCGAACCACAGGCCCTAGTTAGACGGTGGATAACCTCTAGATTAACTGTCCACACAAACAAACAAAAACCAAAACACTTATTTTTTGTTTGTTTTGGGGATTCTTTGGGGAGTCTGGTCACCAACTTGAAGCACAGGTGGTAAAGGGATTCCTGGCCTGGCAGGAATTTAGTTGCTGCAAAAAAAGCATAATGGGAAGTTGAAGTGCCTTAGAAGTCAATCGAGTTTTTGTTCTCAACTCTGTTGTTGTCATCTGGTGTGTTCCACCTACCCATGCTTCCATTCCTCCTAGCTCTTGACAACCATGGATCTTTTTACTGTCTCCACAGCTTTGCCTTTTTGAGAGTGCTGTCTAGTTGGAATCATACAGTATGTAGCCCTTGCAGGCCAGGTTCTTTCTCCTCTGATTGCTCCATGTCTTCTCATAGCTTTATAGCTCTTTTCTTTTTTAGTGCTGTATAATATTTCATTGTCTGGATGTACCACAGTTTATCCATCCATTGGCTGAAGAACATCTTGGTGGATTCCAAGGTTTTGCAATTATAAATAGAGCTTCTATGAACATCTGTATGTTGGTTTTTGCATCAATTTTCAGCTCCCTTGGGTTAATACCATGTTGTATGATTGCTGGATTGTTTGGTAAGGGTATGTTTAATTTTGTTAGAAACTGCTAAGCTCTCTTCCCATTTTGCATTCCCACTAGCAATGTATGTGAGTTTCTGTTGCTCTACATCCTTACCAGCATTTGATGTTGTCAGTGTTTCCGATTTTGGTCATTTTTATAGGTAAGTAATGATATATTTGTTTTAATTAGCATTTCCATACTGATGTATAATGTGAACTCTTTTTTATGTTCTTATTGGTCATCTGTATATCATCTTTGATAATGTGTCTGTTAAGGTCTTTGACCCAGTTTTTAATTAGGTTGTTGATTTTTTATGTTTGATTTTTGAGAGTTTTTTGTCTATTTTGGGCACCAATCCTTCATGGAATGTATCTTTTGCAAATGTTGTCTCTTCAGTATGTGCCTTGTCTTCTAATTCTCTTATTATTGTCTTTGCAGAGCAGAAGTTTTCATTTAATTTTTGTGAATTTCAGGAGGGAAATCACCAAACCAAGGACTTCTGAATCTATTCCTATCTAATCTTCTAAGAGCCTTATCATTTTGTGTTTTACATTTAGTTCTATGATCCATTTTCAGTTAACTTTGTGAAGGATGTAAGGTCTATATTTAGATTTTTTTTTTTTTTGCATGTTGAAAAGATGGCATTTGGCCTGTAGAGTTACCTTTGTTCCTTTATCAAAGATCAGTTGACTATGTTTATATAGATCTATTTCTGTGCTCTCTGTTCCAATGATCAATTTATCTATTCTTTCACCAATATCATATTGTATTATTTACGGTAGACCTATAGTAAGTCTTAAAGTTGCATAGTATCAATCTCCAACTTTGTTCTTTTTCTTCAACATTGTGTTGACTATTCTGGGGTTTTTTTTCTTCTTCATGTTATAGTTGAATTTATTCATCTCTGATAGTTTTCCCATAATCCTTAAAATACAGTTTTATACATTTTTAAAAAAATTATCTTAGGTTAAAGATAGGAGGAGAGGACGTATTTTATTTGACATTAAAAAAATCACCTTATTTTTTATTGATGTAATGTTGCTTTACAACACTCTATATGATTTACGGGTATTGGTTAATGCCTCTTCAGATGTACATTACCACACCACATTCACCACCAAAGCACAACATACTGTTAGCTTACTTTATGACTTGTAGTTATGTACACAGATAATATGGTGTCCTCCTTGTACTTTTGCTCACACATCATGGTAGGCCTGTTTTGTGACCACCAACCTGATGCTAAGACTTTAGATGGTTGGGGAGCAAACAGCAGTAGGGGAACCTCAGCTGGAGAGAGTTGGGCTGAGCACAGATATTGAAGGAAACAGAGAACAAGGGAGGACCTTACCCTTCCTGGACTGTTTCCCTCCTGAAGTTCTTTCTCTGACTAGCCCTTGAAAGCCCTGCCCATGGCTCAATCAATCCAAGTGATGTGTGAACTGATGGCTTATTGCCTTAATTTAGGTGAGTCTATGCATACAACATAGAGCATAGCTTTTTAAAAAATACTAACTTTAAAAAATCATATTATTCTTTATTGAGGTAATGTTGGTTTATAACACAAAACTGAGATGTATATCACCATACCATGTCTGCCACCAAAGCACCCACCATAATCCTTTGGATTCCCACCCCCTTTTTCTTCCCAACTCCTCACTCTTCTTTTCTGGTAACCTTAATTCAGCAGTTAGATTTCTAGGGTTTATAAAAACTAACTTTTACTTAAGTTACATTACCTGTAGCTCCCTGCTCTAAAAGCTAATTGCTATGGTGTTTGTAGCATAGTAATTAACCTTTTGCTGTGGTTGTTTCCATTAGAGTTGGCCAAAAATAATACACCTTCTAATTACTACCTCCAGTATTACTGGAAAATAAAAATTTCAATGCAGTAGTAACATGATATTGCAGGAAAGAGACACATATTTTTATGACAGTTTGATATATGAGGTTGCCTCTTTGGATCTCTGGTATTATCATTTGCAAATAAAGAGATTCCTAATGCTAAAGAAAAACAGCCTCAGTTCTACTAATGCTTTGGGTTACTTTCTACCTGAGTTGGCTCTACTTGGTATTGTTTTTAGTAGTTTCAATACCTACCATCTGGTCGTCTTTAATATTTAATGGTTTATCCTTTTTCTTAGCAAACTGCCATAAGATACTAGAAATGGTCTCTTCTCTAAAGATTTAACCTCTAAAAAAGGAATTATTAGCCTCAAATTTAATAATTTTGATACTAACTAAATGATTTTCCTTTGGTATACAAAGCCAACTTTATACCCAATTGTGTATCATGAATTCCTAATGACTACATGTGATTTTGAAAATTGCATTAGAAATAAAAGTTATAGGGCCTCCCCAGTGGCACAGTGGTTGAGCGCTGGGTTGCGAAGCTGCCCGCAGCCTCTGCAGTGCCGGTTCATTCCCCGGCCACTGGGCAAGGGTCCCACATGGTGCGCAGACCTCTCCTGCCGTCCCCTGCTCCCCCCAGCAGTGTACTTCGTCCATCTGTCTGTTCTGTTCCCCACTCTGGCTCTGGTGAAATCTCCACCCTCCCATGCTTCTGACTGTACCCAGTGCTTGTATAAATAAATAAATAAATCTTTAAAAAATAAAAAAATAAAAATAAATGGTATATCTTGTTATTGGGAGATAAGTATAAATTATAGGATAAGTGAAGGAAGATAAAGAATTAAAGTATTAGAGAAAATGGAGTTGAATTTTGCCATTTAGAAAAGATTTTATGGAAGAGGTTGGCTTTTGGGAGCCATTTGAATTTAAAATTCTTGAGAGATTTGGTATTTCAGACTTGCTAAGTGGATTGGGAGACAGTTTAGAGATGGCAATGGGATAATTTAATACAATAGATTGTATGTGTTTTCACTTGAATGCAGAGGAAGATTTACTATGAAGCTAATGAAACTTAAGCAACAGAGACGTTTCCAAAGCTCTATTTAATCTGGTATTTTAAATCTTACATTTTTCCATTTCATAGTTCCTACAATCATGCAAGCCTCAAGAACTTCAGAATCAGAATTCACTCCTCTTGAATTCACCCTTCTTGTAGAGAACAGTGAAATGGAGTAACTCTGGTCGATTTTGAGGTAGTAAATAACAATTCAAAGAGTTGAACTGATTTCCTCCAAGAAAGGTGGAATGGGGAAGAGGAGGCTGCTGACCTGTGTTCTTATTATTAGTAAACCTCATTGAACTAATTAACTTTTGTTTGAATAACTTTGACAAACTTAAAGCTTCATTCATTCATTCACTGGTTAATTCATTTTTAAGAGGAGCAGTGATGGTCTGGACAGCACATGTACGTACAAGTTCTTTCTTGCAGTGTCTTCAGCCAAGGTAAGGCCTACAGTCTGACTCTCTACCCTTCCCCCAATCTAGAGCCCTGACTGTCACAGGGAGAATTCATGGGCAGAGGAAATTCTCCCACATTGCTTTGCCTGGCCCTCCCTTCTCTTCTAAAGAAAACTATCCATCAGGGAGTTTTGCTCATTACCTTCTCTCATGGGGTAGATATTTTTTCCTTCACATAGCCACATCTGAAAGTCAAACAACTGCAAGGTAGACTGAGACTCTGAATCAGCCTACTAAATTATAATTAAAATCATATTTAAAATATGGGTTATTAGAATCTCTTTTTAAATATCATTTTGGACGATCACTTTCATTGGAGATTTTAAGGCATGTCTTTATTATAGTATACACTATAGTTTTACTCAAATTGAGTGGGTTATCATCTTAAGGATCATACTTTATTAAAAGGAAGGAGCTGATTTAAAGAGGAATCTTATGAATAAAGCATTTCCATTTTAGTTAAAATTCAGGATAGTACAAATATTCTCTTTTCATTTGATGAATAAATTCATCATGGCAAAAATTACAATAAGAGATTAAATGG